GAGCGCCGCCGCGCTTCCCAAGTGGCGCACTGTAGCAGTGCGCCACCGGGCCGGCCCCGAGTGCAACTTCTTTTATTCTCCAGTTTTTCACTGCACTGGCTTAGGTTATTTTATTTTTATTTGTTCTCTACTTTAATAAATGTAATAATGACTGGAAGGTAATGAAAAGCAAAGGCCAGAAGTCTTTTCAAAGACGAAAATATTGTGGCTGTTCATGGGTTGTACAATATATTTATAGCCTGTACCTATTTTTAAATTGTAAAAGTGAAGGGTGTGACTACCATGCTGATATGTAAACAGTTTACGTCTCATTTTAATGAATTTCCAAAAACAAAAAAAAAAAGGTTTTTACTGTGAAATACACACACATACAAAAGAAGATATTTAATATGTATGGGCAGTTGAAAGAATAACTTATAAAAAGGAAAAAAAATTATAAAAAGGAAAACATGTTCTACCATCTTGCTTGAGAATATTGCCAGTATCTCTGAAGCTCCCTATATATCCCTAAATGATCACAGGCCTCTCCCTCTCTTCTAGAAACAATCACCAATAAGAGGTCTGTATTAATTGTGCTTTTCCTTTTCTTTATAGATTTACTACATGTCCAATAATATTAATAATTGTAGCCATTTACTTCTACAGCATTTACTGTGTGCTAGAGCCTAAATATTTTATTTCATTTTGCCTGATTCTGAACAATGTGTAAAATGAGGTATTGTGTATGGTTTGTCTCTCCCCTCCCCCCATATTATGTTTCTGAGATTCATCCATGTTGATACATATAGCCATAATCCATTCATGTTCACTGATGTATAGTTTTCTACTCTAGACATATGTCACAATTTACTCATTTTCCTTTGGGAGATATTTGGGTTGTTTAGTATCTTGCCATTATAAACTATGATCCTGACAACATTATATTACCTGTCTCCTGGTGCACACGTATAAGAGGTTTTTTTTTTTCCCTATATAAAGATGACTGGTAAGGGGATCTCAACCCTTGGCTTGGTGTTGTCAGCACCACACTCAGCCAGTGAGCTAACTGGCCATCCCTATAATAGGATCCAAACTCGTGCTCTTGGTGTTATCAGCACCACATTCTCCCGAGTGAGCCATGGGCCGGCCCTATATGAGTTTCTTTAGGATATATATCTAGGAGTTAAATGGCAGTGTCATAGGGCACATGCACATTCAACTTTATAAGATAATGTCAAATCATCTTCCAAAGTGATTGTACCAATTTACATTCCCATAAATAGAGAATGAGAATCTTCATTGCTTTACATCCCTGATGATACTTGCTACTGTCACTTTCTTAAATTTTTGCCTAACTGATGGGTGTGAAATATTGCACTGTGGTTTTAATTTGCATCACCTTGATTGTTAGTGTGATGTACATTTCATATAGATATATATTTTCTTTACCATTTAAGTTTCTTGTTCTTTATTCTGGATATTAAACCTTTGTGGTGGTTATATCTGTTGCTCTGTTGCACCATCTTTTCCCAGTTCGTGGCTTGTCTTTCATTTTTTATAATCTATGGTCTATTGATGAAGAAAAGTTATTAATTTTAATTTAATCAAAATTATCCATATTACTTTATATTTGCATTTTAGTGTTTTAAGCATTCTTTCCCTACCATGAGGTCATAAAAATACTCATATAGTTTTTTAAAATTAAGTCTTGGCTCTCATATATTATGTCTTTGATCCATCTGGAATGTGAAATAGAAATCATTTTTCACTTTTTTCTACTAAAGGACAATGTTACCAAGTGTATTATAGAATAAGCCATCCTTTCATCGGTGAACTGTGATGCCAGCTCTGACATATATCAACTTTTCAAATTAAGCACAGGTCTATTTAGGGAGTCTCTAATCTGGTGCACTGGTCTATTTGGCTATTCTTGTGCCAATACTAAACTGACTTTATTTATTTATTTATTTATTTTTTCTTTTTTTGTCTTTTTTTCGTGACTGGTAACGGGATCACAACCCTCGGTGTTGCGCCCATACCGCGACCGGCAACGGGATCGCAACCCTCGGTGTTGCGCCCATACCGCGACCGGCAACGGGATTGCAACACTCGGTGTTGCGCCCGCACTGCGCTCAACCAGTGAGCGGACCGGTCTCTATATGGGATCCGAACCCTTGGCGGGAGCACCAGCGCGCTCCCAAGCGCCGCACTCTACTGAGTGTGCCACCGGGCCAGCCCCTAAACTGACTTTATTACAAAAATTAAATAATAGGTTTGGTTATCTAGTAGGACATGACTCCCCTTCACTTCCTTGCTCTGTTTCTTGGCCTTTTGTTCTATAATCATTTCAGAATCAGCTTGCCAAGTTTCATAAAAAACTCTGTTGGGATTCTGATTCGAACTGCATAGAACCTACAAATCAACTTGGGAGAATTAACATCTCCAGGATATTGAATTATCCAATCTAAGAAAATTATCTATTTTTGTATTTGAGCTGTATTTAGTATCTTTTAATAGTTTAAAAAATTTTAATATAAATATACATTTTTGTTAGATTCATTTCTTGGCACTTCTGTTTGGTGCTATTTCTGTTTGTTGCTGGTATACAGAAAAGCAATTATTTTTATACATGGATCTTCTATTTCACAGCTTTGATAAACTATCTTATTAATTCTAATAATCTTTCTGTATACTCTGAGTAGACATCCAGATGACCTACAAATCAAAACATACTTTCGATTCCGTATAACTATTCTTTTTCTTATCTTATTGCAAAGAACATTTAAGTTACAAGGATGAACAGCCTTACCTTATTCCTGATTTAAAGAAAATGTTTCTAGTCTTTCATTATTAGTGAGCGCAATGATGTCTGCTACAGGTGAATACCCTTTCATATTATTTTTACATTTACACAGAGTAAAATTGGATCTATGAATTTTAATGCAGATATAGTTTTATGTAATCACCACCATGATCAAAATAAAGAACTGTTCCATCACCCTAAAAAACTTCCACATGCTGCCCCTTTGAATTCAAACCCTTCTCCTCCCCTAAACCCTGGCAACCGCTGATCTGTTCTCTGGTCCCTATAGTTTTGCCTTTTCCAGAATGTCATGTAAATAAAAGCATAAAGTATGTAACCTTTCAAGATTGGCTTCTTTCACTCATCATAATGCCTTTGAAACTACCACAGTAGTTTAAACCTAACAGAGACAAACTCAGGGGTTTCTGTAAGTGTTAATTCATACATGTGGTCTACATTCCTGAACAGCCTAAGAAATATATCTAGGTTAATGAGAAATGCCCAAAGGACAGTGCTGTTATTGCACTAGAACTTTACATATGAACCACTGCTGCTGAGACCTCTTCCTTGGTCACTAGCTTTTTAATTTTTTTTAAACCACTACATTTGATGCCATTTTTATTTGCTTAGCTGTAACTGACTGTGAGACAGAATCATAGACCTGGAAGAGTCCTTGGAAAACATTCAGGGAGGTAGTTAAGCACTGTGGTGAAGAGGGGCTTTGGCATCATATAGACCTTGATTCTGCCTGCTATTCTCAGTAAAGTTTACCTTTTATTGAGTTTCAGTTTCTGTTTCCTATCAGTAAAATGGTGAAAACAAAGCAGGCATTTCATAGATTTTTTTAGAAAATTAAATGAGATACTCCATGTAAAATGCACAGCAGAGTGCCAGGCACATAGTAAAGGATCCACAAATGGCAGCTGCTATTATACCCAATACAATTCTCTCATTTCGAGATTATGTAGATAATCAACCTAAACATTCTATATTAATGGTTTTAATATTCAGAGCTCTTTAAGGAAGGGAACTAAAATGATTTTATGTGAACAAATACATTGTAAAATTCTCTATGATAGGGTATAATTCACCAGCCTATGAGATGCAGGAACAACAACAAAAGAAAAAAAAGCTGAGATTTTATCTTCCAAATATAGAGAAAGAAAATTATTAGTAAGAAAATGTAAGCTCATATGGAATTGAGGACCACAACTGTTTTAAAAGTATTGACAAATCACTTTAATGTCAAAAACTTTAGAAAACATTCTGTTCCCTCCACATACCTCCCCCCAACCCCCAATCCAGAGGACATGCATAAAAACAGTGTTATCTGTGAAATCTATATGGTGGTCCAAATGATACAAGTAAGTATAATTGTTTTAAAAATCAATAGGTTTTGTTTTCTTACATAGTCTAGGACCAAGAGTAAGTATTGTTCCGAATGAGCAAAATGTGTTTTCTAAAATTTACTACATTTACTTTGGTAAAAGTTTGCCACTGCTTAAATCAATAAATTTTTAAGCAAAATATACCTCCATCAAGAGTAAGTTTTGACCGCCATTCAACAGGCAGAAATTCAACATGTGTTGCATGGTTGGAAAAATGTCTTTCTTCTATTTTTCTTGCTGCCTCTCTCATCCTAAAAATAAATAAAATAAAATAAAATAGAAGCAAAACAAAACTTTGAGAGTAACTTTACATATGTATTTATAAGGTACAGAACGTCTTCAATCATAACACTTCCATTTGCTTATGACTTCACCCAGTTATATTTCAATTACTGCCACACTAAGCAAGCATGCAATACTAGGACATCATTTCAAAGTTATTTTCCTAAACTTTCCATCTACAATTTCAAATATCCCGAGCTTTTATGTTATATTCTAAATAATTATACATATGATTTTTTAGTAGACAGAATAGTGTAATGAACACCCCTGTTTCATCACCCACCTCATATATTAGCAAGTCATGGCCTATTTTATTTCATCTATTCCTCTGCTCATTCCCCCATAATAGGGATTTAAATTTTTTATTTTAAAAATTAAGATGCCATAAAATTGACCTTTTTTTCCCTTTTGGTGTCAGTTATATGAACTTTAACACATGTAAGAGGGTACTTCAAAAAGTTCATGGAAAAATAGAACTAAAAGATAAGTGAATCTTTCCTCATATAAACCTATGGTTAGCACCACACAATTAAGATACAAAATAGTTCACCTCAAAAAACTCCCTCATGCTGGGCCGACCCGGTGGCCCACTGCTACAGTGCGCCGCTTGGGAGTGTGGCGGCGCTCCCGCCGAGGGTTCGGATCCCACATACAGACCGGTTCACGCTCACTGGCTGAGCGAGGTGCCGGCGCAGCACCGAGGGTTGCGATCCCGTTGCCGGTCCGGTATGGGCGCGATACTGAGGGTTGCGATCCGTTGCCGGACACGAAAAAAGACAAAAACAAACAAACAAACAAACAAAAAAAACTCCCTCATGCTATCTCTTTAATGGCCACACCATTCCTCCATATTTTAAAGCAAATCCCTTTATTTCACCTGTAAATAGTTTAGTACATATTTCTACAATATAAAACATAACCTATTCAGTATTATCATACCAAAAAAGTTAATGATTCTTTGATTTTAGCAAATATGTAGTTCAGTGGTCCCATTTTTCAAGTTGGATTGTAAATGTTATTTTATAATAACAGTAAAAAATGTTTTCATATTGAATTGAGTTCCAAATACAGTTCATGCATTGCATATCTTTAAGTGTCTTCTAATCTATAGGTTCCTTTCTCTCTTGTAATTTTTGTTTTCGTCCTGTAGAGTTTCCCAGAGTCTGATTTTTACTGACTGCATCCCTACGGTATTATTTAACATGTTCTTGTCCCCTAGTTCCTCTAATTTGGTAGTGAGATATAGGGGCTTGATCAGATTCAAGTTCTGTTTTGGAAAGACTGCTGAACAGGTACATACAAACCTGGTTTTCTCTCATTTTGATGATGCTAGCAGTTATTGATGATCATTGCTTAGATTAATTAACTTATCATGGTTGCAAGAAGTATTTTTTAAATCCCATCACTCCTTATTTGTTTAATTATACTTTTAGACAGAAATTTCCTCACACCGAACATCTGGCTTCCTTGAGGTGCAACCAAATAGTTTCTGTATGAACTAAAGTACAGTTTGTCCAGAAAAGGCAGAATAAATGCTTTTCTTCCTTTTTATTAAGAGTTTTCAAAATAATGAGTTGTTATTTGGGGGTCATTACTAACTCATAGATTTAAACATATCTGAAGTATTTCAATCCAATGTAGTTATCCTTTCAATGGTCAAATTGTTTCCCATTTTTGATCTGTTAGTCTCTTCAAACTGGCTTCTGAGTGCTTTTGATACCTCCTCTCCAGTTATTTTATTTTATTTTTTTAAACAATCCTGTTTTTTTGTATATTTATAGAATTGTTTAATTATCACCACTATTTTCAGAACACTTTTATCACCCCCAAGAAAAACACCATACCCATTAGCAGTCATTCTCCATACCTCCTCCCCCTAGTCCCTGGCAACCATTAATCTACTTTCTGTCTCTGTGGATTTGCCTATTCTGGACATTTCATATAAATGGAATCATATAATATGTGGCCTTTTGTGCTGGCATTTCATTTAGCAGAAATTTTCAAGGTTCATCCATGGTGTATCATGAATCAGGACTTCATTGCTTTCTACTGTTGAATAATATTCCATTGTATAAATATACCACTTTTAGCTATTCATTCATCGGTTGATGAACTTCTGTGTT